GGCTGCGTCACAGCCGTGAGGCCGCTTTGCGCCTTTGCGAAGCGCCGCTCCTTTCAGTCGCTGGTAAACGAGCGGCGAAGGCGAGGGCGGCGGAGGGGAGTCGGTCGCCAGGGCTGCGACAGGCGCCAGCCGAGACGAAAAGCCACCCCTCGATTCTGCTCAGCGCTAGGGTGATCTGTATCGTTTCCTCGTCATCATTACAGTAATCTTCATACACCCTGTGGCCCGCAGTGCATCTGCTTCTGTCATTCTCGCTGGACGTGAGGTGATAGGTCACCCTCCCCCCCTCCCCATAAATAGGCTCTAAATGCCTTAAAGATCATTCTATACAGTAATTTTTCATCTCCTGCCCTATGGATCGGCCTTAGAACAAAAATCGGCTTTCGGGGGGGGGGGGTCTGCTTCTCTTCTCTTTTTGTTGGTTTCTCCCAAGCCTCGCAACTCACTAACACTCAAACGCTGCTGAACTCAAATAAGCGAGCGGGTCTGTGTTTCCGGCAACGAAGGAAGAGCACGCGCCTTACAGAAATCCTGCCTTACAGGATCTCCAGGGGCAGGTCCTGACTGCAAACCCTCGTGCTGCCCATGCCTGAGAGCGTATCCATCCTCCCAGCAGCCTAACGGTCTGTTAACTCGTTTTAAGATCTTCTCTGTTTTGTGGCAAAGCAATGCCACGATTATTCCCGCAAATACTGAAATTGCCTAGTTTTTGTACAGGTATATCAAATAAATGCTAAAACGTCCAGTTAAGCACTTTGTTAGACTTCTCAACTGTACCATCTGTGCTAACGTGGTGTCTGCACTAGACATTGTGTGGTGAGTGGATGGATCAGTTTGAGTGCAAAATTCAATTAACCATCCCACCCGGAAGGCATAATCCATTTCCACTAATGTCAGTATTGTGCACCTGCACACATCTTCTCAGATCTAGCTTGCAAATTAAAAAAATACATTTTAGACCTTTTAATAGAGACAGTGTTGTTTTAGAGTTTGGGTATTCCCAAAAGAGGTTCTGTTTACACAACTTACCAGTTTGCTGCAGTTTGAAACTTTTGCAGATGGCAGCAAAATGACTCCCTCAGCTCACAGTAAGGCATCAAATCTATATCTGCATGTTCAATTTTACAGAAGCTATTCGCACAGTTGAATTCAGGGGGATTGAGTGAGTACTAGTAAGTACGTGTGTTTGTGGGTTTGGGGGTCTACATCCTTCTTTGCTATGATAGAGTCAAAAACTACTTTCTTCTCATTTCAAAGACATGACTTCAATCATGTGCTTAGACTGAAGTGGTTAAACTGAGGTGGCGCCTCAGCAAAGTTAAGAAAAATCTAGACAGACTAGAGGGATTTGAACAATCTCCTAAACCACCGTCACATCTTCTAATAACCACTACTCTCGGTGGTTAAAATTTGGACTGATACAGAATCTTTGCGACTTTCTTAGCGACGCTTTTCTGTATTTAGAACTACATAACATACCTGGCTGCTGCTTCTTTCTTCCCATCTTCTAGTGTTCTCCAATGAATATGGTCTCCGAAACCTGCCAGAGAAAAGGGTTTATAAATGTTGCGTAATGTAACATGTCAGCTAACAGATGAAAACAGTCTAACCTCTAAGGACATTTTCAACTCATTTTATATTCTTTTTTTAAAGCAAAATATAATCCCAGTCTTGGAAAGACTGGAAGAAAAACAACTGGATCGTCATGGAGAGACAAATAGCTACATCCTACACAGTCTTACGAGGAATCTCACTGAAATTAATTAACAAACGCAAACCACACACATATTAATATTTACACATATGCAAATGACAAAAAAATCTCCGAAACAGAGACTAAACTAAAGTGCCTTCTGATGACTCCCCATTCCTTCTCAATCTGTGAACATTTATTAACTGCTCAGGGACAAATTAAACATGTTCCCGTTTGCCTTTCTAAATCCCACTGAATGTGGGCTAATGCAAAACTTAAAATACCGAGGCCGATAAATGATTATTAATTGCTCTAGAAATACTACACCAAACATTACAGCTGTTGATAATCATGGTGAAAGAGGACAAAAGAGCCCCATTACACAGTTTTCTGAATGTTACAGTGACTGACAAACGCAGGCAACGTTTCATTCAGTAACTGCATAACAAGTCTTGCGACGTCAGCGGAGGTAAGACTGAATGAACATACGTTTTAACACCTGTCAAGCAGCGACTGCCACTTTTTTGGCCCGATAACCAACACACCAATATCATCACACGGCCAAAAGCCACGCGGAGATCTGAGAGGAGACTCCGAGCGCGGCACGCGGGCCGGGAGCCCCAGGGCTGACACGGGGAAGGCAGAGAGGACTGCAGCAAAGGAGCTGGAGAGAGGCGGGAGCCGGGTCAGCAAAACGCCACGGCACTTCAGCAACCGGGAGGTTTGAACTGCTGGCACAGTATTTTTATTACCTTAGCTTGTCTCCTCACGCAAACTGCCATGAACGTATGTGACGCAACACATCAAATATTTAGTTTTGCCAGTAGCGAGGGGGGTGCATCCTGTTCCTGTCCAGCCACACGCGTCAGCTCCAGAAACAAGCCTACATTGGAGCCACCCGCACGTAGCAAGGCTAATAAAGGTCGGTTTATCAGCAGAAGTCCTATTTACCTAGCGTATTGACGCATCAACTGTTTCACTCAAAGGCCAACATGTTAACTCAAGGAAAACCTTAGGTTGCTCTAGCCAGCAAAGGCTTTTTAGAAGTTATTCTTTCAACTAAAAAGCATGCTGTGGTGAGCTTCAGGATGTCCTTTAAAAGCATTAAATAACGTATGAGACAGCGCCTCTTTTTCACGACAGCGAACTTGGGACTCAACCAGAGGCAACGACGGCTTGCCTGCCTCGATGTTTGACCGTTTGGGACTCACACCGCCC